CCAAAACATTATTATACTTAAGATAATTAGTAATAGCCTGATAATATAATACCATCTGAAAAGACATTATTTAGCTAGTACATATGTAAATTTCTCCAATTATCTCAAATCTTCTTTTAGAGATTTTTAAAAACCCAGAATCTACACAAGGTACATGCATTCGACTTGATTATTATGCTTCTTGGTCACCTATAATCACACACACACACACACACACACACACACACACACACTCACACACACACCATTTAGATTTTTTTTTTTTTTTAGGCTTCAGGGCAAACATTTTTGGCTAGGGCACTACCGAGATGGAGCTGTGTTACCCAAGGCATTGATTGCACCTGGAGGCCGAAGGTGCAGCTGGTCTCACCATGGGAAATGCTAGGTTTGAACTTATGGTGGAGGTTGAGTTCACGTTATTTATTTATTTATTTATTTGTTTGTTTGTTTATTTATTTATTTTTGCTGAGAATCAAAGAGACCAGAGCCACTTGCCTGAGGCTTTCAAATACTTCTTGGTAGCAGGGATTGCTTGATGTGGTCACGACTGGGGTTTCTGTTTTTATCTGTTCTCTGTGGTCCCTGACCAGCTGCCCTTCCCTTTCTCCCAGGGTCGGGGTAGGATTTGCTCTTTTTCTTTTAAACGAAGCCGGCCGCCCTTCCGGCGGAGCCCTCACCTGTGTGTTTGGTGTCTCCGGTGTCACCCGCACACATGCACACCCTGCTGCGCGTGGGCACTCTGCTTTGAGAGGGTCCCTCCCCCACACCGGTGCATAAATATTTGTTTCTGCGAGTTGCCCACTTTCTGCAAAGACCTCTTTCTCTAAAGCTTTTTCAGCTTACTTTGAAGGGAAAATTCTCAATGACATGCTAATATCTGTATAACACTCTTAACTCCTGCCAAAACGCCTGGAGCAAAAAGGTTGCTTCCCAGCTCTGGTGGCAGCTGGAGAAGGTGGGGAGGTGGGAGTGGGGAGTGCAGAGGTGATAGTAAGGGTGCCCCTGAATATTAGAAATTCCGCGGCTTTTCCTGAAAATGAATCCACAACCCTAACCAAACCAAACGAGAGCTCAGATCAGAGTTACTTCTTAGTATTCCCATAGTTTGAGTACTAGGACGCCCTTTTATAGACAAAAACGCCTGAGATTGGTTCTTACAGCTGTAATGTAGAATTCTTAGCCAACCTTCCCTCATATTATTTTGAATTTATTTTATTTTCCCCCTTATATATTTTTCACACAGTTAATATGACATATTTATTCTTCCAACCAAATTACTCATTATTTTATTTTATTTATGGGTTTATTTTGTTAATCCTCACTTGAGGATATTTTTCCATTGATTTTTAGGGTGAGTGGGAAGGAGGGGGAGATCAAGACGAACATTAATGTGAGAGAGATACATTGATTAGTTGTCTCCCGCACACGCCCCGGGAGGGAATGAGCCTGAAACCCAGGTATGTGCCCTTGACTGAAATCAAACTGGGATCCTACCAGTCTTCAGGCTGAGTAAACTCAATGGACGCTCTATCCACTGAGCCAAACTAGCAAGGGCCAAATTATTCATTATTTTTTCTTTTTTGTGTAATTGCTGAATTACATTGGAGGTTGTATCTAGGAATAACAACCACACACAACCAGCTCACTGTGTTTTGAACTCATCCTATATAATAAAAGGATAACATGCAAATTGACCCTAAGGGCAGAATGACCAGAAAGACCACTCGACCAGTCACTATGAGGTGCACTGATCACCTCTCGGTCCCTCTCTCCCCTTCTCTCCTCCCCTCTGCTGACAGGCTCTGATCGCCCGCCCGATGGTGAACGTGGAACCAGGGATGGGTGATGGGGATGTGGACGGTGCCAGGGCAAGGTCCCCGTCCTGCAGGCTGCCCCACACACAGAGGGTGACCTGTGACGGGACGGGGCTGGCAAACAGGTGGGAACGGCTGACCTCTCGGTCTTTTCTCCTGGCTGGCCGGCAGGCTCTGATCACCTGATGGGAAATGGGGAACCGCAGGTGGGTGGTGGGGCCAGCTGTAGGCAACCAGGGAAGATGGCTCTGATCGCAGGCCGGGCCTAGGGACCGTACCTGTGCACGAATTGCGTCCATGGGCCTCTAGTCAATAATAATTATGTTATATAGTTATGTTACCTTCATAGTTAACAAAGCACTTTCGCATATGCTATTTGATTATCATGAAACTCTGAATGGCTATTATTGTCTGCATTTTTAGAAGGATTAACTAAGTCTAGGAGACTGTGAATTGCTCAAGGACAAATAAAAAACACTGGAGCCAGAATTCAAATCCTGGTCTGTTTGGTTCTAAATTCCATAATCTCCCCAGGCTAGCTCACGATAGAAGGAGTTTCCCAGAGGGCACAAGAAACGTTTTTCTGGGCTGTTTGGTTGAGTTTAGAAAGAAGGAGGATATTTTAAATTTAAAAATTGTCTTGTTGACCCAGAAATTAAAATTATATTCTGGGCATTAGTGACAGGCCTATCTAGCATTTCAGTCTGAGTTACATTCTCCCTGAAGAAATTGCACTCTTTCGGGGAAAGGGAGGGAGGAAGAGATTGAACATAAACTGTGCACCTATGGATGAGGACAATGGGAGGTGGGGAGGGGGCGGAGGATGGGGTGGGAACCTGGTGGAAGGGGGAAGAAATGAGGAACCTTTGTAATAATATGAACAATAAAGATTGATTTTAAAAAAACACAATTTATAAAACTGTAATCAAGTAGAAGTATTATATAAAGATATTAACTTTAAAAAAAAAAAAAAAAAAAAGAAAGAAATTGCACTCTTTCCCTGAACACCATTCAGTATTTCAATGTATGGAGCTGGTTGTTCTAGAAGGGTCAGTGTCACAACAAGTACCATCCCGAATATGTTTTTAAAAACATATATTTCATTGATTTCAGAGAGAGAGAGAGAGAGAGAGAGAACTACCAAAGATGAGAGAGAATCATTGACTGGCTGCCTCCTGCATGCCCACTACTGGTAATCAAGCCAGCTATCCAGATATGTTCCCTGACTGGGAATCAAACTGGGATTCAAACTCCTGATTCATAGCTCATGGTCAACCACTGAGCCACGCCGGCTGGGCTACCCATCCCAAATCCGACAGAGATGGTAAAGAGAGGAGGAAGCAGGTCCATGGTTCCCAGTCCTTTTCCCTTCTCAGTGAAATACAGGACACTCATTGAAATTTGAATTTCAGATAAACAATGAATTTTCTTTCTTTTCTCTCTCTCTCTCTCTCTCTCTCTCTCTCTCTCTCTCTCTCTCTCTCTCTCTCTCCCTCTCCCTCTCCCTCTCCCTCTCCCTCTCCCTCTCTCTCTCTTTTTTTTTTTTTTGGTATAAGTATGTTCCAGATATTGCATGGGACATATTTATACTAAAACGTTGTTTGTTTTTAGTATAATCTGCTTAGTCTAGCAACCTTATTTCAAAGTGAGCAGTGATTCCAAGGTTTCAGGTGTGTGTGTGTGTGTGTGTGTGTGTGTGTGTGTGTTAAGAAGATCCTGAGAACAGGAGCCCATCTGGCTCTGTGTTTGCCATCTGTGCCCTGCACATGCCAAGAGGTGATGATTCCTGCACAGATGCAGAAGCAGAGAGAGTCTGGGGAGAGAATTCCCAGTTAAATGATGAATTCTGAGTTATTCTGAGTTGGAGGTCTCCTTTGTGGTAAGGAGAGCGGGCCTGACCTGAAGCGAAGGTTGGAGTTGATTTACCGGGTTTCACTTAGCCTTCCTGTGGGTCTGTTTTCACTAGTGAGTATTCAAATCTAACCAGGAAGTTAAAATTAGCCTTAGAGATTGTGTAAACTCATTCAAAGAAAGGAAAAGAGGAAGGGGCCCTAGAGAGCTGAGCTGTGCTAAGCAGAAGGGTCCATGGGACAGGTGAGGAGGCTCATGTCAGTGCTGGCGCTGCTGGCCCAGGAGAAGATGGGAGCGCAGCCCCGGCGTCTGTCCCAGGCAGAGGTCAGGGAGAGCAGGGGCAGCGGGAATGCTGGGGCCAGGCACTTGCCTCCGATTCTGACAGATGCCGAGCTGAGAGGCGATTCCACCCACCGGTCTACAAACTCTCTCAATAGGAGGGTTCAATTGAACAGCACCTACAGGGAGAGCAGTTAGTCTGGTTTCTCATCCTGGAGCTCAGGGAAGAGGGTCTGCCAGCTGTTACCAGCCGTGTCCTAAGTTGATCTTGAACCTTGAATAAGCCATTATTATTTGTGTGTTCACCTGTAAAAATGTGATGGTGGAGGATGTATTATATTATGGTTCCTCTTAGTTCTAAAATTCTGTTGGTATAGATGTAATTTTAAGCATTCTCATGTCTTTTGTTCTGTGCTCACTGGCATGATAAGAGGGCTGGTAATCATACTTCATCAATAATCTATATTATACTGAAGATTGCTTTTTCATTTTCCCCTTAGCTTTTCCCTTATCCAGGCAAAATATCAAAGTCCTATTTTCCAACAGCTATATTCAAATGAGTTAACCAATGCGATCTACTCTTTTCTAAAGCCTCATGTCACCAATTAGTAAGTCTGTGGGACCAGAGGCAACAATTAATATTTCAATTCTAGCTCACTGTTCATTCATTCAAAACTTATTTATTGAGCTCAGGTGACACAGCTGGCAGATGTGAGCTTTGGGAAGAAAACTTCAACAGAAGTAAAAAACATGACAAACTCTAGTACCTCAAATCTTTTGCTTCTCACTTCTGTTGCTGGACTCGGTGTTCAGCCACCTGTCCATCGGATGGTAGGGGCAAAATGAAAGTGAGTTCTTGCAGTAAAAGGTTGAAAGTATGGGTTAATTTGAGGTATGTGAAGTGTCTGTGGGTTTCCACCTGCCTGAAGCTATGGGCTTCCATGACCAGATGCCACTGGGAACTGGCTCCTTCTCCTGAGAGTGCAACTCAGCCCTCTGGGACATCCTTCTCTGACTGTGTTTTCCCTGCCCTCTGTCCACAGGGCTGCACTTGAGATGGAGTTATTGCCTCTCTGGCTCTGCCTTGGTTTTCACCTCTTGACAGTGGAATGGAGGACCCGAAGTGGAGTAGCCGCAGCTGCTTGCCAAAGGTGCTGCCAGCTGGTGAGTTTTCCCAGGAACTCTGAGTTGTCTGCTGTTCCTGTGCTGAAAAGGTTTGATCCATTTGGAAAGCTGATGGGTTGTCAATCAGAGAGGACAGGGGTGAATGAATCCGAATTGTTCTTCACCTCCCTAGCTATGATGCCATGTGCAACCTGCTCTTTAACCAAAAGTTAAGATGATGCCTAGGAAAGGCTCTGCCCCACCTTTTTCATACCCACTGAAGGCACGAGGCCTCAGGTACAGGCCTAAGTGAGCCACCAGGAACAAAACCACCTCGTTAAAAACTGGACCATTGAGCTCCACTATTGGGATCTGATAACGGTGACGCATATTATAGTTGAAGAAGCCCTGCCTCAGAGTTTATGTTTGAGTTAATAGCAATTGCTTTAAAAGCTGCACTGAAGCCCCGGGGCAAGTGGCTCAATTGGTTGGAGTGTTGTCTCAACAGAACTGTGGGTTCGATTCTGGTCAGGACAGATGCCTAGGTTGTGGGTTCAATCCTTGGTTGAGGCGTATATGGGAGGCAACTGATTGATATTTTTCTCTCACATCAATGTGTGTGTGTTTTTTTTCTCTCTCTTCCTTCCTCTCTTTAAAAAAAAAATCATTAAAAAGATATCCTCAGATGAGGATTTAAAACAAAAACAAAAACGCTGTACTGAAGAGCATGCTGCCCACGGACACTGCAGAGCAACACCCCTGACTGTGCTTAGGTTAAGGCAATCCAGGAAGCAGACACCAAGCTTTTGCGGTCTGCTCTCTTCAGGGCTTTCAGCCTGTACAACAGCTGTGTCCATTCCTAGAAATTGTGCCCTTTGCCTGTCACTCAGGGATGTAAAAATCTGCCTGAGAAATATGCATTTAATAAACATTCCTTGTACTCTATTATAACCCAGGCACTGGGAAGACTAATTGGATGTCAGGTTTAATACTTAGATTAAAAAATGTGCTCTTAAGGCTGATGAATCTCAAAAACCCAGCTGGTCATAGTTCTTAACCACTTTGGTAACCTCTAACCACTACACTGTAGCATACGCCAGCGTGGGGTAGAGGTTATGAGCCAGGCCAGGTTTAAACCCAGTCCCACCACTTACTAGCTGATGTCATTGGGCCGTTCTGCCTCAGTTTCCTCATCTGTGAAAGACGGAGGCGTTAATAATGCCAAGCAATCATACCGTAGCACTGGGTTGTAATGATGACTAAATGAGTTAATGTACATAAAGCTCCCAGAACAGGGCCTTGCATGTGGTAAGCGCTATGTGTTTTATCCATTATTATTATGATTGTTAGTCTCTGCTACACAGACTTCCATTATTCCCGTACGGAGGCGATGAAAGATGAACTTCGCAGTGGCTAATTCAGGAGTTCCCAGGCATAGAAAGAGGAGGGAATAAAGTTCTGTGACAGGCTTTGAAGGTTCAGGCTAGACTCTCTCTAGCCTGGCGGGAAGAAGTGGGGACTCGGCTCCAGTCCCAGGGAGTTCAAGCAGTGGGTTTCCTGTGGCTTTTCGGGTCAGGCGGAGGGTTTGGGAGTCCAGGTGCCCCCATTGCCCCTCCTTGCCTTAGCCACGTGATGTTATAAAACGGAATGAGGTTTTCTCGGGCTCTGACGGCCCCGTGTGGGCCCCAGGGAATTGCAGGGTGTGGCGCCCATGGCCTCCACAGCTGTGATACAACAGGGTCTCACCCACTTTGGAAAGCCCCTAACCACAACATTCTCCAGAGAGTCCCGGTGTGGGGGAGACCAGCACTTACTCAAATAAAGAAATACATCTTGTTTCTGCATGGGGAGATTTACTTTTACAAAGATGCCAGTTCTTCTCCAAATCACTCCATGATTGTAAATGCAACTTTTATAAAAATTCCAAAGATTTTTGGGGTAAAGGGGAGGTGTAGAAAGAACTTCACAAATTCATCTGGAAATGAGAAACAACTCAAATGCGCTATAAAATTAATTGATTAACTACAATGTATCATTATAGCTAACATTTATTAAGCATTTATGTGCCAGTTCTATGTTAAATGTTTTACATAAATAATCATAGTGAATCCTCATTAAGAAAAAAAAAGCCCTATGAGAAAATTACAAGTATAATTTCAATTTTCAGGTGGAGTAATGAAAGTCCCAACTGGTTAGGTAACAAGATCAAGATCACCCATTGGTTAAAAACTAGAACCAAGTTGCATTGACTCTACAACTCTTGCTCTTAACCACTGTTCTATTCATGTAACAAACTCACAGACAGTTGCTAAACAGATGATCAAAATTATTTTATTGCAGGGGCAATATGTTTATTACATATTATTGGGGAGATAATAGATAACTAAACAGTTTGTAGAGTACAGACTCATTTAAAAACAATTTATTATTATTATTTAGAAAAGGTAGATAATATCATTAGAAAAGAATCCAGAAGGAGAGGTAACAAAAGGTTATTGGTGTTTCTTTGAGGAAGAGGCTTAGGTTACTGATGAGTTTAATTTTCTATATTTCTATATTATATCAATTTTTAATTATTAGAAGGTTTTATTTTTAATATATTTCATCGACTTTTAAGGGAGAGGGAGAAAGAGTTAAAAACATCGATGAGAGAGAAACATCAATCAACTGCCTCCAGCACCACGCACACACCGGGGATGTGCCTCCAGCACCACGCACACACCGGGGATGTGCTGGCAAAGTACATGCCCCTGACTGGAATTGAACCTGGGACTCTTGAGTCCGCAGGCTGACACTCTATCCACTGAGCAAAACCAGCTAGGGCTAGAAGGTTTTTATTTTAATAATCAGATAAAGAACATGGGGCTGTGAGAGGTTAATTCCTTGTCCAGGGCCCAATGCTAACACACGTGGCAGAGCTGAGAGTCAGACTTGAGTCTGTCATCTTTCCAAACTGGTGCTACTTCTTCTCTATCAGATTTTTCTCCTTTTTCCATCAGTCCTCTTGCCCCGGGGGATTGGGCCCACCGTTTTAGACAACCACAGACCTTGTCCTACTGGCCAATCTGTGTGAAGGAAGACCGTTACTCCCCTTTCTCATCACTTAACACTTTTTTCCTAGACCCCTAATTGACATCCTGTGGCTGATAGTTTTTGCCAATCTTGTAACACATTGGGCTGAGTTTATCCTGGGGCTTGAGTGACTTCTGCAGTGAGACCAGGGTCGTTCCATCCCTCCCGCCTCCTTACGCAGCACAAGGTAGAACCGTATCCAGGGAAAGAACTGAATTGGGCATGACGAGTCCCAGCTCTGCCCCTGACTCTCCACTTCTCTCCAGACCTCGCTCTGCTTTTCTGTGCGGTCCAGGGTGGCGATGAGCTCCGAAGTCCTTTTAAGCCGAGACATTTATCAAGGCCGCAGGTAGAGGAATGTTCAGACAGAACTTCTTTGGTGGAAAAGAAGATGCCACAGCACTGCCGGTTGTTAGGCAGCGTCCCTCAGACTCACAGCTGCAATGGGATAGCGATTACCACGCAGCAGTGACAGGCGGCATTAACAGTGCCCGCTGTGCGTCAGGCCCTTGCCGTCTCTCGTCTAATCTCACTGCAGTCCTCGGACACAGGTGCTCCCTTTATCTCCATTTTTCAGAGGAAGTGACAGACTTAAATTATTTGCCCAAAGCCACATGGAAACAAATGGCAGAGGCAGGATTCAAATCCAGGTAGAGACCTGGCTCTCAGTTCCTCTCACGGCTAACACCAAAGTGCAAATACAATTGTTGCCACTCAGCGCCTGATGGACAGGTGCTCAGATCTTCTCTCACCTGCTGTGTGTTTTAAACGAGGCCTGGAACTCAGCTCCCAGCTGGCTAGTTTAGTGTGACGGTCAAGGACAAAGAAAAGTCCCACGCTTTTTTTTTTTTTTTTCTCTATAGTGTCTGATCCTTTTCTTTAATTATGATTTCTAGAGCCATTCCTCCAAGTTGCAGGGACAGTCTGATGGCTGAACTAAGTTTCTGTACCCAAACCTCTGCCTCCGAGGCCTCCTCCGGCTGACCCGTGTGTTTTTTTTGGACCTTAGGTGGATGGAGTCGCTGACTGTCGAGAGCAGAATCTGGCCTCGGTGCCCAGCGATCTCCCTCCCCACGCACAGACGCTCATCCTAGATGCCAACCCTCTCAAGACCCTGTGGAACCACTCGCTGCAGCTGTACCCGCGCCTGGAGAGCCTCAGCCTGCGCAGCTGTCACCTGGAGCGCGTTGGCCGCGACGCCTTCCAGGGCCAGGCCCGCCTGCGCAGCCTGGCGCTGCCCGACAACGCCCTCTCGGAGAGCTACAGGGAGACGGCGGCCGCCTTCCACAGCCTGCGGGCCCTGCGGAGGCTGGACCTGTCCGGGAACTCCCTGACGGAAGACATGGCGGCCCTCATGCTCCAGAACCTCTCTTCCCTGGAGTCCGTGTCCCTGGCGAGGAACACCATCATGAGGCTGGACGACTCCGTCTTCGAGGGCCTGGGGCACCTCCAGGAGCTGGACCTGCAGAGGAACTACATCTTTGAGATCGAGGGGGGAGCCTTCGAGGGCCTGGCCGGGCTGAGACACCTCAACCTGGCCTACAACCACCTCCCTTGCATCGTGGACTTCAGCCTCACGCGGCTCCGGTCCCTCAACGCCAGCTACAACGACCTGGAGTGGTTCCTGGCCTCGGCGGGCGCGGCTGCGTTCGAGCTGGAGGTGCTGGACCTCTCCCACAATCGGCTGCTGTTTTTCCCGCTCCTGCCCCGGTCCAGCAAGCTGCACACCCTCCTGCTGAGGGACAACAGCATGGGCTTCTACGGGGACCTGTACAACGCCTCGTCGCCGAAGGAGATGGTGGCCCAGTTCCTCCTGGTGGACGGCAACGTGACCAACGTCACCACCGTTAACCTCTGGGAGGAGTTTGACTTCAGCGACCTCGCAGACCTGCGCTTCCTGGACCTGAGCCAGAACCAGTTCCAGTACCTGCCCGACGGCTTTCTCAGGAAAATGCCTTCCCTCTCCCACCTGAACCTCAACCGGAACTGCCTGGGGACGCTCCGCATCGGGGAGCACGAGCCCCCGGGGGCGCTCCTGGAGCTGGACCTGAGCCAGAACCAGCTGTCGGAGCTGCACGTGGCCCCCGGGGCCCCCGGCTGCCTCAGGAGCCTCCGGTCCTTCAACCTGAGCTCCAACCAGCTCCTGGGTGTCCCCGCTGGCCTCTTTGCGGATGCCGGTAACATCACTACAGTTGACATGAGCCACAATCAGATCTCACTCTGTCCCCAGCCAGCGGGCGTGGACGGCGGCGGGGGCCCGCCCAGCTGTGTGGACCTCAGGAACGTGGCGTCTCTGAGGAGCCTCTCTCTGGAGGGCTGCAGGCTGGGAGCATTACAAGACTGCTCCTTCCAGGGCACCGCCCTCACCCACTTAGACCTTTCTGGAAACTGGGGGGTTCTGAATGGGAGCACTGCCCCCCTCCGGAATATCGCCCCCACGTTACAGGTCCTGTCTCTCAGGGACGTGGGCCTCAGCGCCAGCTTCACGGAGTTGGACTTCTCCGGGTTTGGGAAGCTGAGGGACCTGGATCTGTCCGGAAATGCTTTGACCAGTTTCCCCAGGTTCCGGGGAAGCCTGGCCCTGCAGACGCTGGATCTCCGCAGGAACTCACTCACGGCCCTTCCCCAGGGGGCCGTGTCTGGGCAGCTCACGACAAGTCTCCGGACCATCTACCTCAGTCAGAACCCGTATGACTGCTGCAGGGTGGAGGGCTGGGCGGCCCTGCAGCGCCTGCACACCATCTCCGACTTGGCCATGGTCACTTGCAACCTGTCCTCCAAGGTCTACCGCGTGGTGGACCTGCCCAGAGGCACGCCTCAGGACTGTAAGTGGGAGAGGGTGAATATGGACCTGCTGTATCTTGTGCTCATCCTCCCCAGCTGCCTCACCCTGCTGGTGGCCTGCACGATCACCTTCTTCACCTTTAAGAAGCCTTTGCTTCAGGTCATCAAGAGCCGCTGCCACTGGTCCTCCATATACTGACCTGGTCTGCCCACGCAAAGACACATGCTCTTCCACGTTTCAAGATCCGATGCTGCAGAGGACACATCTGATGAACTAAGCTTTAAATTAAAGTGTAACCTGTTCCCATTCCTCCGTCACTCCAAGTTCTTCCTCTGTCGTTATGATTCATCCTTATCAGCCTGGTGAAATATTTATTAATTGACATGCCACAAATAAAAAAAAAACATGTTTCATACATACTCTTAAAATCAAACACAGCTTGCGTCTTTTTCTTTCTTTAATGTTTGTTGGTAGTTTTGCGTAGGTGATGTTTCAGTGCCCTTTCCTTGATGGCACCCACGGGGCTGGTGAGAAAGGGTGGCGATTCAGTGCCACCCCATAGCAAAAATGACTTCAAGAGCATGTCCTGTGGAGGGTGAGAGCCAGTGCCCTGGGAGTTCAGCAAGAGACAGAATCTCAGAGCCGAGCTGGGGGAACAGAGATGAGCACTGTCACCTCCTGACTTGGCTTGCGTTGCCTCTGCAGGCAGAGCTCTTCCCTGGAGTTGTAATGCTTCCAGGGAAAAGCTACCAGAACAGTAACGGGGCCCTGAGTTTATCTGTGCAGGAACGGAACACCAGGCACCGTCCTGCTTCTGAGAGGAAGTGAAGAGGAACACAAAGGGGTGAATTCTGTTTACATGTGGATTACCCCCACTCTCCTCACTCACTCACACACACACACACACACACACACACACACACACCAAACAACTTCTCAGCAGCTGTCCTATATCTGTATTCACGACATCCCTCTCTCCTTCCCTTCCCTCAGTGAACAGTGAGCAATTTCTGTGCTCCTCTCTGGGGAAAAGATGTTAAAGAGACAGCCCTTGCTCTTTTGGCAGTTTAGAATTTACATTGTCCTTGCACTTCTTATCCCTGCTTATTAAATCATGAATGAATTAAAGGCAGTGGTGGTGGAGTAGGAGGAGGATAAAAATCTCACTAACTGCCAAAACCGGTTTGGCTCAGTGGTAGAGCGTCCTCGGTCTGCGGACTGAAGGGTCCCAGGTTCGATTCCGGTCAAGGGCATGTGCATTGGTTGTGGGCACATCCCCGGTAGGGGGTGTGCAAGAGGCAGCTGGTCGATGTTTCTCTCTCATTGACGTTTCTAGCTCTCTATCTCTCTCCCTTCCTCTCTGTAAAAAAACAATAAAATATATTAAAATAAATAAATAAATAAATAAATAAATAAATAAATAAAAATAGCCTTCTGTTAAAAACACACACACACACACACACACACACACACACACACCAAAAAAAAAAAAAACACACACACACAAAACACCTCTTTCTTAGGGTCCTATTGTTCCCCAAGGTGACAACTAACTATTTAGACAAACGAATCCATCTGCAGCTGCTGACACATTTATGGCTTCTCTTCAGGTAATGTGTCACCTCTTGCATTAGTCAGTGCTCGTAGTCAGTTATGAGTCTTGTATTAGTCAGTTTCTTGCAACTGAGGATGACTCTGTCTGATGTGAGCAGCTTGGGGATTTAATAAAAGGGTGTAGGGGAGCTCTAGGTTCTCTGGGAAGGCAGAGGAGCTCACGTGGGAAATGGGCAGGAACGGGGGATGCTAGGCAGCAGCTGGGACCAGGCACAGATCACGCCATCAACCATAGCTGTGACTGCAGACGCTCCTTACAGCTGGATGCCACAGTTTGCGCTGCTGCTACTGACAGCTCGGGACAGGGCCACCGCCAGCGGTCACTGCCACTGCTGCCGCCCATGGCCGAAATCAACCCTGTCCCAACTTCTGCTGTCTTACGTCACCAGCTCCCGCGGTGCAGTCTGGAGCATGTGGACTGGTTGGTCGACCTTAGGTCACGTGTCCCTGTCCTGACTATAAGGGCGGCTGGGACAGCAAATGCCGCACCTCCTGGTGAGGCTTCTGTAGCAGAAAATGGGCTCTGCTTCCTAAAAATATTCGTAAGGGGTGCACTTCTCAAAACAGGAAGGGAAGTGCTGTGTTGAGAAGACAAAAGAAAGACAAATGTGCCCCACACCCTTCTAGGCGGCACGCACATTGCAACAGAGGACTCGTCGGCATAGAGTGCCGGGTGGCGGATTCTCTCTCAGGCCAGCAAGGGAGATAGCTGGAGTCAGGCAGGCCTTTCCAATCCCTTTATGTAGCTCACCGCCCCCTCCACCTGCTCTTCGGGCCTAGCCTTGCGGAATGGCATATTGAGAAGACTTAGGGCAGACCCCTGCCCTTGCCTGTGGCAGTGGCTTCAGAAGGCGGTGGGCTTTTCTTGGTTGGTTAGTCCATCGCTAGGGTCCGAAGACTATTTCCTAGGTTTCTGTAGCAGAAAATGGGCTCTGCTTCCTAAAAATATTCATAATAGCTATGAAGGTGCTAATTGGAATTAGACTCATTGTGGCGATTACTTCATAAAGTATATAAATGTTTAATTACTGTGATATACACCTGAATTGAATATAATATCATATATCACCTATAATTTTAAATTTTTTAAATTGAAAAAACTACCAAGCACTTATTTTATGCTAAGTGCTTTACAATAAAAATTTTCACTTAATTCAGGAAAACTCTAGACTGAGAGCAGTTCATATTCGCTCCAGCTCATGCAGAACTGTGGAAAAGAAGTTAGCATTAAGTTCCAGAAGAGTAAGGCAGCTGCAGCAACTTGATCAACAAGCCCAACAGTTTGATCAAGTCCATCACACTGTCAGCCTGTAGGTGGCTAGGGGTTGCTGCTGAGCAGCATGTTTGCTGATTAAAAGGCAAACATGAAGAGGTTCATACGGGCATAGGTGAGGAAGTCCAGAGCATATAGTAGGTCCTCAAATAACGTTGTTCCACTAGAACATTGATGAGATATCGTACCAACTTTACTCTTGTTTCCATCAATTAGCCTGCGGTAAAATTGGTTTTGTTATACATCGTTTTGCTGCAGTTTCGATAACTTATCAACGATGACCTTAAGCGAGAATTTGCTGTAGTTAAAGGTCACTCTTCTTTCTGAGGCTGTTCTGCAGGCCGCAGCTCGGTTTGTGATAACGTGGAGGTAATTTACCACAGGAGACTCTCTCCCGATGCCTTCCTCTTCAGCCAGGCTCAAAACCAAGGCAAAAGGCTGATGCAGGAGGACCCTGATTTTCACCAGGATTTCATTGATTCACTGTGGGGGAAGGGACTGATCAGGGGAACCATCTTGTCAGAAAGGAGATTGTTTCTGGAAGAGCCATCTGATCCAAGTTTTTCAAGTGCAGGACTCAACTTTTATAGATGTAATAGCTTTGAGAGGAACGATTAGGTTAACCCTAGCAGGTGTGGTTCAGTGGTTGGAGCATCATCCAGTATACTGAAAGGTCACAGGTTTGAATCCCAGTTAGGGCACATAACCAAGTGGTGGGTGCAGTCCTTATTGGAGTGTGTATGGAAGGCAACCAGTCAATTTTTCTCTCATCCCCTCCTTCCTTCCCTCTGAAATCAATAAGAACATATCCTTGCATGAAGACTGAAAGAAAGAAAGAAAGAAAGAAAGAAAGAAAGAAAGAAAGAAAGAAAGAAAGAGAAAGAAAGACTAGGTTAAACATTAATAGAAATAGCACTCATTCATTAGAAATAGACGTATGAGTTGTTAAAACACCGACCCATCCACTCCAGGACCTCTGAGAGCTCAGGCAGACCGTGAATGGTAGGTAAGGGTCGGGTAAACCCCAGGAAAGACTTAAAGAGGAGGGGTGCGGACGCAGACTTTGGCATCCCACATGGAGTCTCCCTCAAACTTACTTCTCAGGGCTCTTTAAAAACTGTCATTTGTGACTGCTCCCAAGAGTTGTTTGTGTCTTTCATTCATATCCTTGACAACGGCTTTTCTTTCAATTGTCCCATCTTCATGTCAGTGCGATGACTGTCCTCAGGCACTCAGTCCTATACTTCTGCCACCTTCAGATTTTTTAATATGAAAAAATTTGGAAAACTAGATTCCGAACTTCTGTTATATTTTAATCTCTTATCCCTGGATACAATGAGTTTGTAATCAATAATCCTTTTTGCTTATTTTATGAGTGTTTAGCTTATAAAGGGCAATACCACACACCATTTTCCATATAAGAACATGCATAGCAATACTGATTCCAATTGAGTCCAGTCACAATGATTAAACCCTTAGTAACTTTAGACAACAGTATCTCACACAATGCTGAGACCAAGAGAAGTTTCTTACAGAATCTTGAAATCTTGAGGTTGAATTAGCAGACCACAGTTTGAAAACAGTCTTTCTGCACAGATCTCCAAAACACTATTTAAGAGGAGGGCATGGGGAAGGTCATGGCCCAAGAAATTTTTTTTTAATCCTCACCCAAGGTTCTATATACTTATTGATTGAGACAGAGAGAGAGAGAGAGAGAGAGAGAGAGAGAGAGAGAGACAGATGAGAGAAAAACATTCTTTGGTTGCCTACTGTACTTCCCTAAACCAGGATCAAACTCACAACCTAGGTATGTGCCCTGACTGAAAATTGAACCCACAACTTTTTAAAAAATATATATATTTTATTGATTTTTTTACAGAGAGGAAGGGAGAGAGATAGAGAGTTAAAAACATCGATGAGAGAGAATCATCGATCAGCTGCCTCTTGCACACCCCCTACTGGGGATGTGCCCGCAACCAAGATACATGCCCTTGACCGGAATCGAACCTGGGACCTTTCAGTCGGCAGATCGACGCTCTACCACTGAGCCAAACCGGTTTCGGCTGAACCTACAACTTTTTGGTGTATGAGACAACATTCCAAACAACTGAACCACCCCACCGGGGCCAAACAAATTTTAATGAGAATAAAATTGCCTAGAACACTGGAGCACCCTGAATTGTGCAACCCCAGCAAGGCCTCCGAGGCTGCGAGGAGGAAGTCAGACCCACGTGGGGAGGGCTGGAGAGTGAGGAGGGTCACGCTTTCTGGAGGGTGGGTGTGTTTCTTTTCCGTCTACCGTTATCGATGT